GGTATTATAAAAATATAACATGCTGCTTCAGTTTTCGGGCTGCATGTGGCCTGAAACAGTGGTTTCCGAGGCTACCAATCCGAACCACTAACTCTGCGCTTGAACAGGTTCTGGTCAAGCATTTTTAAAAGTCCAAGTGACGAAATTTTCTCAGCCCGTACTTACCGAGTGAGCTATTTCTCAGTAGTGCTCACCAGCTTTCAGGCCAACGACTTTCAACAACATTTTAAATCTCAAAGTATCCTATCCGTTAAAATTTTCCCGAATGTTGCGGGATATATCCAATCTTTCACATTTCTAGTACCGCCCTGACCTGCTCGAATATTCTGAGTTTTAACTCTCCGGATCCAGACACCTGACAAACCGTTGATATAATATTCGATATATATATTTGACAAAAATGGTCTGCTCCATTTAACTAGTATTTATCACCATATCCACTACTTTAGGTACTTTATCCACAACTCCAGTGTTCACACAAGCATTTTATCACTTTACCACCTTTTAACGCATATCTTAAACCATGGCATGGATTTGAAGTGTTATCAGGTTTGGAGCTGTAGAGCGTAACCTCACGGTCAGTTCCACCTGATAACTGTCATCACGGGTCAAACGGTCTCTCTCTCTCGCTCCCCAGGGCTATATTAATAGTTGACCAGGCTACGTCTGTCTAATCCTACCCCCTTCTTTTGCAGAGTCCGTATCTTAACCATGGGTAGAAACACCAGGTATCTTAACGTATCTTAACTATACTTTAACAGTGTACTATCCTTGATTTGGAAGCACCCTTTCGCTTGTAATTGCTGTCGAACATCTCTCTCTCTCTCTCTCTCTCTCTCTCTCTCTCTCTCTCTCTCTCTCTCTCTCTCTCTCTCTCTCTCTCTCTCTCTCTCTCTCTCTCTCTCTCTCTCTCTCTCTCTCTCTCTCTCTCTCTCTCTCTCTCTCTCTCTCTCTCTCTCTCTCTCTCTCTCTCTCTCTCTCTCTCTCTCTCTCTCTCTCTCTCTCTCTCTCTCTCTCTCTCTCTCTCTCTCTCTCTCTCTCTCTCTCTCTCTCTCTCTCTCTCTCTCTCTCTCTCTCTCTCTCTCTCTCTCTCTCTCTCTCTCTCTCTCTCTCTCTCTCTCTCTCTCTCTCTCTCTCTCTCTCTCTCTCTCTCTCTCTCTCTCTCTCTCTCTCTCTCTCTCTCTCTCTCTCTCTCTCTCTCTCTCTCTCTCTCTCTCTCTCTCTCTCTCTCTCTCTCTCTCTCTCTCTCTCTCTCTCTCTCTCTCTCTCTCTCTCTCTCTCTCTCTCTCTCTCTCTCTCTCTCTCTCTCTCTCTCTCTCTCTCTCTCTCTCTCTCTCTCTCTCTCTCTCTCTCTCTCTCTCTCTCTCTCTCTCTCTCTCTCTCTCTCTCTCTCTCTCTCTCTCTCTCTCTCTCTCTCTCTCTCTCTCTCTCTCTCTCTCTCTCTCTCTCTCTCTCTCTCTCTCTCTCTCTCTCTCTCTCTCTCTCTCTCTCTCTCTCTCTCTCTCTCTCTCTCTCTCTCTCTCTCTCTCTCTCTCTCTCTCTCTCTCTCTCTCTCTCTCTCTCTCTCTCTCTCTCTCTCTCTCTCTCTCTCTCTCTCTCTCTCTCTCTCTCTCTCTCTCTCTCTCTCTCTCTCTCTCTCTCTCTCTCTCTCTCTCTCTCTCTCTCTCTCTCTCTCTCTCTCTCTCTCTCTCTCTCTCTCCTCTCTCTCTCTCTCTCTCTCTCTCTCTATTCGGTCCTGTTTATTCTCGGAATCACTCGCCATTCATAAAGATGAAATCATTATCAAAGTATATGTAATTTCATTAGAGGATTTGAAATTTGAATAACTGAGGGCTGTATCAGGGTGTTGGTGTTTTCCCTGTGTTAATGAGCGTAAACTTGGATTGCTTTTAATTTCGGGTCTGACAGCAAGGTAATGAGATTTGTTGCGGCCGTCAGATGTAAATGAGTAAATTATTCTTTTGTTTTGCTCACCACGGGTTCAGTATATCTTTGGGTGATTATTTTAGCCGTGATCCTGTAATGTCCGGTATCTCCGCCTAGAGTCTGTTAAACAGTCCTACACATTCCATCAACTGTAAAATTAGATCATCACTTTAATATATCAGTCACAGTTCTCTGGACATTGCTTCTGTTGTGGTTTAAATTTTGAACTTTCGACTAGGTTTAAATTCGATAAGTGTGATTACGATTAAGTGTCTCTAGACGGAGGCTGACAAATCAGAAACGACATTTTTATAAAGGCTTGACTTGGTTCTCATAGGACAATTCTGACATTATATTATATGATTATTATGTGATTATGGATTTATGGGTAGATAATAGTGAAACTTCCCAATTCCATTGTGATAAAATTGTCGAATCATCCTCAGTAACCTCCGTTGTAATCAGTACTTATTGTCAAATTACCCCCCTTTACCAGCCGATTGAAAACGCTGAATATTCAAACCTAACAGTTTGTATTTATACTGATATGCTCCCATGATTTGGTTTGCTTGTACATGTTTGCTTGGTGCCAGCCTAAGTTGGCCCCTCACATCGATTACTCCCTCACTGGAAACTCTGAATTATTCAGAAGGCAATTTATTATCGCACCAAATTCAATGTTATGCAAAGTGGCAGAGTCTTGAAGCTGCTCTTGACTTAGTAGCCGTATTTGCATATCAAAGAGTAAACATTGTTTATCACCCGTGATCTCTACGTAGGCTTGTAGCTGTGAATAGTGGTAAGACTTGCGATAAGGCGCGATATATTGAGATTTGATGCCCCAAATTCGACAATTATCCCTGCATATTTAACTACTTAAATATTTAAGTACAGTAATCAGTATGGTTATTGGGTGTTATTATTGTTGTTTACTTTCAATCAAATGCGGTATCCCCGCTCAGTTTATATTATGTTGCCGATCTGTATAATTAAAATATTCATGTTAAGATACTTGTGGAGTTGTGGAGGTATATAAACCCCAATATCTATTCGTTATCAAGAAGATAGATTTCTTTTGTATAGATAATCTATATTGTTGAGCTTTTCATAGTATTACAACCAATCAATGCTACCATAAAGGGACATTTCTTTGTCAGTGCAGTGCACGTTTTTCAAAAAAAAGAAGAAATGCACGATTCTGATAGCAACTTCACGTGAAATACTTGCAAGCTGAGGTTTTTGTTTACAGCTATGTCAAACTCCAGTTGTCCATCTAAGGAAGATGATATAAACTCCTCGTGACCCAGCGTGAAATAAGTAACAATTCCTGGATTTATCATATTATTATACTAATAAACATGAATCATCATTTGTCGGCTTTTTGTTTTCTAAACCTAACTTTATTTCTTCCAGAATGTTTGTTTCCCACCCAGTGCGTGTAGTCTGCTCGACTAATTATAACCTTTGGTTCGAGCCCCATCGAAAAGCTACTCCTTACAAAATAAACAATAATTCCATTGTTGCATTTGTATAACATTCTAACTATACACTTCGTTAGATAACCTGTGAAGATAGGTATCACTAAAAACTGTACATACAATCATAACGCGAGTTATTTTACCTTATGTTGAACATGGTTAATGCCTGATCTGACCTGCCGCAATCCGATGAGCCTCTCTGAGTCTACATTGAGCTGAGGTTTATTTCACTTTAATGTAGGGTTAAAGTTATTTATTTAGAACATTCGAATATTATATTGTTATCTGTCGCTGTCTTAACTGTGATTCATTTAACTTGAATGACTTAGGTGTATCTTGAGGTGTATCTCAGTTCAAGTGTTAAACGTGTAAACACACTTGAGTTTAGTCATCCATTTATTCGTTTACTACCTTTTGCTGTGTCCCATAATGTTTAGACAAGTTAAAGTTTCTACTTCTGTGGAAGTTGATAATATGATTCGGTAGAAAGTGTGACAGCTATCTGTTAACTTCCGTTGTGTTGCATATTTTTATTATTGTTTCGCACGTGTTCAGGACACGATGGTTCCCGAAGGAGTGGCAGTCGTACTGCCAATAGTGAAACCCCCGTACTGCCGCCCTTGTTCCTTTGATCTTATGTTGACACAATCAGACATAGGATATGACAAGTGTAGGTATAATGCGAGATACACGCTTTTCACAACATTATTTATTTACTTTTGTGGTAAGAGATTGCCGATTGTTTAGTTTACACCACTTACTGTTCGTGTTATTTGTTGATAATATCATCTTTTCGCCAATCATTCTGGAAATTTCCCCTTTTCGCCATTTATTCCAGAAATCTCCAAAAATGAATGGCGAGTTTTTAACCAAATTCCGTCATTCTTGCATTCTAAACGAAAGTCGCAAAAACGTAGTTCAGCAATTGTTGCTTTTGAATTTGTTCAATTGTTCTCATTACTTCTTTACACACTAAGTTACAGGATATGGTATGTATACGTATAATTAAACAGGAAAATACAAGATAAAACCTTCGATACACAGAAATATCACCAAAGTCATTGCATTATATACACATTCAAGGAAGTTAGCTTGGTAGAAATTGAGGCACGAATAGTTGCAGTTACTACCGCAGCGCAGTCGTGATATTGATCTTTCATTTACCTGCTGTAAACCGAGCATACCGTATCATCAATCAGAAATTTGTACACTAATATATATTCCCCGCGTAAGTTAAAACTTAGCTTGAATATTTTACATAGCTGGTCATAATGTGCTATTGATATTATGTTTTTATGCGGCAGAATGTCTGTGTTAATCGTTGGCGTAGCTTGTTTTCTTGTTTTGTAGCATTACGATTCGTGCCAGCACTGAAACATGTATTCAACAGTTCGAGCGGTCACGGTGCTTTAAAACTCGGTGCTCTCATCTTTATTGCTTTATTGTATCTCTTTGAACATGTGAAAAGGAAAACGCTTGTTATATTCCGGATATTTTATTTAGTGATGATCAAGTAGATCTCCGTTGTTTACATGGTAACATTTCGTAATGTTACAACTCTCTTTCTCTTTGTTGTAAGTTTTCAATCGTACGTGTTCGGAAAGACTTACTATCAGCGTGAATCGTAAGTGTTTTAAATAATCGTACTACTATAACTGATTTGCGTTTGAATAATAAACGGATATAATAATATTCATGGTGATCAGAGAATGATTTAACACCCTTGGTTCCCTGTTCCCAACTCCCCATCCCTTGCCCACAATAATATCTTCCGCCAAACTAGCAAATTTGAAGTCATCCAAACCAGTTGTTGGATAAATACGCACAAAAATAACCAGAATTTACTGGTACAATTCAAAGCGAGACGCGACATCACAATTCTGATAAATAAAACATATTCAAAACACATATCAATATATTATGTGAATTGATAACTGAAGACTAATTTTGGCGACGACAATTTTGGCATAAAAACCGTGACGGGTTATAACGGATACATACACACAAATTTAGCTATTGCTTCATTATTATAACTAAATAAACCGAAATAAATTGCTTGTTATGCTTGATGAAAGTTAAGTAACCTCACTAGAATTTATTTTTGTAAGCAGGGCAGAATGTAATGAAGAGGAACAATGCCCTACTTCAGCTAATCCTAATCATCTCCACCTCGTACTGCAACCTCAAGATAGGAGCATTCAACGTACAAACATTTGGTAAAGCTAAGTACTCCAACTTAACTCTGAGGAATCACCTTGTAACCGTCGTTTTAAAGTATGACCTCATCCTCATCCAAGAGATCAAAGACGTTTCCGAGACGATGATTTTTAACTTTATCCAAGATTGCCAAGCTGAGAGCTCCACACTGGATCTCATTGTTAGTCCCCGACTGGGCAGCTCCTCGTACAAAGAACAGTACGCTGTAATATTTGATACCTTGAAACTAAGTGTCAAGAAGCAGACAGTATTTGACAACCCCAGAAATCTGTTCAGTAGACCCCCCCCTAATCGCTCACTTCACCTCACCAGATCACCAGTTCGCCGACTTCACTGTCTTTGGAGTCCACGTGGATCCTGACGATGTGGTCCAAGAACTGAACGAGTTTCCTGCTGCGTACGAGTACGCTGTGTCCCAGGGCTACCCTCCTCAGGGGATATTCATGGGTGACATGAACGCTGACTGTAGCTACCTCTCCAGTAGAAAGTACCATGACCTGCTCATGACATCTGATGACAGGTTCAAATGGCTGGGAGTCAATGATTTGGACACGACAGTCTCTAAAACGACAACCTGTTACTACGACAGGATAGTGCTGTGTGGTGACCTGGACCCCCGTCATTTCACCCACCCGGCTATAGACCTGTTTGATGGAGAAATAACGAATGATATGGCGAAGAAGATCAGCGATCATTACCCTATCTATGTAACATGGAAGATGGGGGACTATGATGGTGGAAATACTGCTGATACCAGTCAGGCCATATCGAATTTCAGAAACATCTTGAAAGAATTCCTGTGTCGCTGTTTTCCGGTTTTGAACGAATGTAAAGACGCGGAATGGTTGGAATCCGCTGTATTGTTTTTATCTATTGTTTCAATTTTGATCTGTAGGCGTATCGTAGGTTATTTTAATTTGGTTATAACATGACATTTTTTATATAACGCTATTGTAAAATTTTCTGCGCAGATGCCATTATTGTGTAAATATTTTTAAGTGTGATATAGTCTTGCAGTCAGATATTCAATATTATGATTCAATTTGGGTAATTTTGAACAGTTTATGTATCTTAAAATCATAATGATTGCGTTTGTATTATTTTTATTTGCGATATTCGATGATAGATAATATTATGTGAAATTTATACTTTTTGTAATTCTTGAAATCCTTCGATATCAGTTTGAATATTAGCTAAGTGCGTTTCAGTCTAACTAACTGACCATTTCTAATTTGTTGCCTCTGATGAAGGCACGTGAATTCGAAGCTGTAAAGGCGAATATCGGTCATCTCATTAGATCGATTAAATGGAAGGGTAAGTCTATCTAAATTCCTTTGACATGATTTATTAAAAATGTATGTGATCTTTTGGCACGTTTAAAAGTTTAAACTACTGCACCAGTATTTCCTATATAATAGTATGTAAGACCAGTGCAGCATTTCTCGCTTTATTGGGTGGGTTGATAGCGGTAGTCATTTGAGTTTGATCATCTTTCATAATATCATTTTGGTGCCCGATTAGATCACCTTCATCGTGGTAAGTGCAGCTCACATTTTGATCTTGATATTGTTGTACTTGTGTTGTGTAATATTAATATCGGATATTGAAACTATTCTGATCGAAATTTTTATAGGATGCCGACTATAATATGTATCGATGTTTCTCTTTCAATGGAACAGAAAGCAGCAGAGGAATCTCTTCTGGACCATTCCCTTTCATCCCTAAAAAGCTTCTTTTCTAATCTTCAAACTGTGGTCCCTAACGAATTCATCGAGATCATAACATTTTCCCACACGCCCTCAATACTGGTGGAATTCACAAAAAACACCACTCAGCTAACAAACAGTTTATCAGAGATTGAATGTCAGGACAAGACCTGTATGAAGGAAACTATGGAGCTGTGTCTCAAAGAATGCCAGCAATGGAACGTGCTCACTTCTACTCACATTGTCCTTATAACTGATAAGATTCCTAATGCTCTCAAGGACTCTATTGAAGGGTTCCCTTATGGGTGCTCCATGTCCTTAGTTGCCTTGACTCCCACTACTGATGTTAACAACAGGGCTCAGACTTTTTTGAGATCGTGCAACTTAAAGGGCAAGCTTTATCCGGGGCCTGTCCTAGGTAAAGATTCAGTAGATAGAATATTCGAGAGTATCATGCTGGATCACTACTCTAAGTTTGAAGCGGCTCTGTGGTTTGGACATCAAACTACCAGTGTGGCTATTTCACCCTCACCTGATGTGGCGCATCTTGCTGGTATCACTCTGAAACCCACTCCCAAGACATTCCCTGCTACCTTGAGAATACACGGCTTCATCCCCGCCACTGATCTTCACAACCCACCATATGTTTCCAGACACGTTCTGTTACACGCGGGACCCCGGTCACCAGTTAAAGTGACCTCCAAGACACCAGACTTGAGAGTTATTCTCAATGAAGGTCTCCGGGCTAAGGATTGTGTAGCTATTGTGGATATAGGCTTGGGCTGGTTTGGAGTTGTGTCTAGTCACCTCCCTAAATCGGAGCGAAATCTTAAAAAATCTAATTTAGTCTTCTCCATTATTGCTCCAAATGCTTTCTCTTGGCTTGGCAACCCTAACTTCCTTGGACTCAAAAGACTAGTTAGTGTGGATAAGCAGTCGAACATGCCGTACAAGGAAGAATACAGTAACAGTTACGACAACAAATCAGGTAGCGGGATGGTCTGGATAAAATCCAGCACCCTGAAACAGAACATCATGAAAGTAGTTAGGTACGCCAAGAGACTCCCGGATAAAGGATCAGCCATGTTTCTGAAGGAGTTGAACAAGGTGAGAAGGAGCATTCTTTTCTATGGCTTCACTGATATGATGGACGTGTTGTGTCAGCTGCTGGAAAAAGAGAAAACTCCAGAAAATACTGAGATATTGGATAATTGCATTGCTCAGCTTCGGGATGAGCCTGACCCAGCAAAAATTATAAAGTGATAATTAGATGAACTGAATATTGTTAATACTTGGAAAGTAGCTAGTTCTATTGTATTTGTCCAAATTCCGACGAATTTATATTATCATGGAAGAAAGGCCAACTTGGGATACCTGAGCCGTGATATCATTTCATTTTTATCTTTGATCTTCGACATAATATTTCACAATTCACATGAATATTGATTTAATGTAACTTTTATGCCTTTAATTCTCTTCATTAGCATTACGTGGATTATTGTGATTTAAAAATTTGTCGTAGTAATTTTTGCCATCCAATGGCATTTAAAAATTACGGTTCCTTTGTTTCCCCAACGTTTTTCTCTGTTGTCGTGAGCGTGTTAATTTTCTTAACTTATTACCTTATAGCTTTATAATAAGGACTGATGTTGACCTCTGGAGATATTTATAAGTTGTCTGACCGTGAACTAAGGGAGAAGCTAAGAGAATATGGCACTCAACCTGGACCTATAACTGGTACTACCAGGAAAGTTTACGAGATGCAACTCTTAAACCTTAGTAGCAAAGTCCGATCTTCTGGATCGGGGGTGAAGTCCAAGTTGAAAACTGACCCGAGTCATGATTGCATCTGTATGGATACAAAGGATGACAGATCAAAACCTGTTGATCGGGCAAAGGAATTATACAGTTTTGATGAGTTGCACTTGAAATATCTTATCGATAAAATTGGAGAGACTAAATTTGATGTTGATTCTGTTGACCTAAGAGACATCGGAAACACGAAATACGACGGTGTACGAACCGCTCTAGCTCTGTTTGATGGCCACTGTCAAAAGAGATCACGAGATGACAAATACTCGAAACTAAAGAGAGTGAAAGTGATCGGGCTAGTTCAAAACTTATTTATCGAGGCAAATTATACCTCTTCAAAGAACAGACTGATTCATAATCACACACACCACAAAGAAATATTTGCTTACCACGCCACAGCTTTAACCAATGTTCCCAGTATCATCAGGAACAATCTCGATCCAAACCACCCTGTTAAACATGGACGGAGGTTTGGAGATGGGTGCTACTTTTCAGAGTATCCAGAGTTCAGTTTTCAGTATGGACGGGACTGTTTGCTGGTATTCAAAGTTTTGGTGGTGTCAGGTCACCACAACAGATACAGGAGTGACGAGAAGGGGTTTTGCGAGCAGATCATCATAAAGGATCCCAGTCTGTTTCGACTAGTTTACGTCTTGTATTTTTAAATCTGCCGAGAAGGTAAACACAAAAATGTATATTATGTCATCGTGTAATTATTTTTTAGCTTCAAGTTAATGATATAACTTTTAGGTTTTAATTTTAGAGCTTAACAAGTTCGATTTTAATTATTAAATTATTAATAATTTCTAACCATACATTGTTTTTACTTATTCATGAAATGGCTGGGACGAATGTGTTCTTTAAAGAAATTGGTTTTGGACTATAATATTCTATGCTACATTTTCAAAATTTCGTCAAAATTCAAACTTCCACGTAAATTTTCGAAACCTGAAACTTGAAATCGCGCAAATTATCATTTTAAAAGCAAAAATTGTAATATATAGATAGAACGATAAAACAGCGGGGAGCTAATAAAACTTTGCGCAGCACAATTTTATGAAAGATAAACAATATGTAAGGGTAAAGATGCCCTCTGAAGTAACGAAAGTGAACCTCCCCGCTCCCTCCTTTACGTCTGAAAGTAAACATACAGTATGCCCACATACAAATCGGCAACCCCTTTGATATCACGACCCTTTACCCAGTTATTAGCCTCACTTCACAAATTAAAAACACATATAATATAATATATTCATCCAGGGTATGCGAGTCAGAACATATGTGCATGTAAATATATATATATTTATATATACTGGATAGGTTTTTCCTGCTTAGTACGCTCACTTGAAATATGTGTATTATACAGGGTTACTTCCTGGTTAATATTTTAGGTTTATCTTCGTAACGTTGTGACACGTGTATTTTCATCTCTTGTGTAATCCTTCGAGTGAGATGTTATTTGTTTTAACATCTTATGGTTACCTATCTGTTAAGTCATGCAGTAAGCTGTTATTTTTATATAGAGCTGGCGAGACGTTTACGTCAATTTAGATAACCCGCTGATTGTTTAATCATTGAATTTTATCCGTTCATAATAATATTTGTTGATGGCTTAGTCAATCATAAATTTGATGAAGCCTATAATAAGTTAAGGAACTGAATTTCCGATACCATTTTACCAAATCCTGCCTATAGTTTGCTGTTAATTGATATCCCAGACATTTGATGAATTAACCTCCTAAATCTCCCCCAATACTCTGATATAGGAACCTGGAACTAATATTATGTTAGCTTTGTGGTTAGTCGAGCATTTTTATCCAATATCCACGCCAGTCATGATATCTTCATATTTCTTCTGAAAAATTCGTGCACTTAAAAGTTTGGTTTAATTCATTTGATCGCGAGAAGTGGATACGGAATTTGTTTATTTTCGAAACGTTAAGTTTCAAGTGTAACCTTACAACAGGTGATACTCTCAAATTTAGACGGTGATTGAAGCATCTGCTGTTTATAATTGTTTTAACATTACAATTTCATTATTTTGTTTTTGCTGATAGGAACATGATCGTTTTCTTGTCAACTTAATCTTGCATACATCTTAATTCTCATTAATATACTATGTCACCATTGCAATTGATCATTATTCATTGTGTTGCAACAGAAAATTGTTTCCTCGAAAAAAAAACACTAATGTTCGTTGACAATGAAACCTCGCAATTTTAATGACCAATTAACTTATTAACTAATTATCTCTCCCTAGCATGGCGCTCAGCACCTAAAATGTCCTCCATCCTTCCTCGAAGACAAATGTCCTGAATAACTTCCCAGTAAGTTTCGTCCGTAAGTTATGTTTCTAGTATGTGTGTTTGTATTATTGTCTTGAGCATGGCAATTAGACGATATAAGTGACCGATATGTCTGAACTCTGATGGCAAACGTTCGTGATTCAGCGGATTTTACAGATAAATGGAATCATATTATGTTGACTTTTGTATTTTTTTCCATGTATTTTTTACGAACTCTGCCAGTCGAGAGATCCCCTGCACTGTACAAAACACTTGACCATTGTGCTAAGTGCTATATCCCGCCTCCTCGCCACGTTTTGCAACATCTGCTTCCATCACACTGTTATGAAACCACTAGCATTGTCCATCTAGGAACTGTGCATACTACACTATTCTTACTAAGGTTCAAGTAATCTACAACATCAGATTTGGCATTTGAGAACGGACAAAAATGCGGTGGTCCGAGAGATATTTAATGGATTTATGAGAAAAACGCCACCTGATCAGCGATCATCCCCTTCTTCGACCCTCAAAAATGTTTCAACAGGGTCACCCGATAACTAGCTGGTCCTTAGTCGGAATTATTTTGTAGGGGGCATGCATTATTGCGTTCCATACCATTATCCAGCAGAGGGGTGGTCATTTGTCTGCTTGGTAATTGGTTTGCTGTAACAGTAATAGCATTTATCATAAACAAGTTAAGGAGTAGTACTGTTACAATAGTTACCTTATTATAAACGAACTAAGTATGTGTACTATATCATATATGCGCATAGCAGGTAATAGAGTTAGGGTGTTAATGATCAGGCCCCTCTTAAAAGTATAGTTCACCGTATTTCGTTAGCTACCTGAGTAGTAATCAGAATTATCCCAACACATCTTTAGCCGTTTAATGGAACCGAATTTCGGCTGATGGTAACGAAATTCCCGTGGGGTAATGGTGGTGGCAACCATGGATAGCAACCAGGCCGCAGGCGATTAATCGAAATTCTAAGGCATACTACAACAGCAATTAGGACTGCAGAATGATAGGCCCTGTTGGGCCTGGTGCGCACACAGCGGGTGAGCTGAGAGCAATCCATTGTAAGAGATCCTAACTCACTAGCTTAAGTTACTAACTGGGCGCTGCCGCAGCGCGCTATGACCTGGTGCACTGTCGCTATACAAATAGCACCACCAGGATATTATTATATGCTCGAACCAGCGCACCGACCCGCAGTGGGGGAGACTAGTGAACAGCGCGTACGCCAGGTGTTGCGAACCAGGAGAGAGAGGTTGCAGTATAGTTCTAACCCCCCTCTCGCAGCGCGCGGCTAACGACTTGCCTCCCCAGCTGAACATCGGTGTATTATATAAAATATAATATGTTCACTAAATCAATTCAGACCTCGGCAGGAACTTTATATATAGATCCTACTCGTAACGTGAGCCCTGCCGCTACCACTTATTGAGTGATGATATATAAACTTTAGCTAAAAAATACAATATAGTGGAGCCCTCCCTCAGTCGCTTTAATCGCTTTTTTAGTTTTTGTTGATTGTCGTGGTTTTTTTGGTCTCTCTTTCTTGCAGTTAGAAATATATTGTTTGGTGTCAGGCACGTGGCTCTTGATGCCTGGTGAGTGGTGAGTTACAAGAATATGCGTGAGAATACGCATAGGGTTATAGCACGTAGTGTAGGGCTATAACTTATAGTGCGCTGAACCTATTATAGCGCCCGTATCAAGATGAACTGAGAATTGCGCACATGTTTTGATGTGCCCCTGCTCCTCAGTAAGACTCACGACACTGACTTGATGAATTGTAGATAATCACAGTTTAGTATTATGTTCATATTATCACAGTACAACAACCTCACTTCCTCTGCCAGCATCTCCCTTGCATTAGCCTGCTAAGCGCGCCAACCACCCAACAATAAACTATATAATTCGACTAACATAAATATCGTGTTTCGAGGATTCGGAGCCTCCATTTTTACAATAGTAGTACTTCAAAAAACATCATACCACCTCAGCTGGCCTGAAAGGTCCCTCGTCGTTAAGTGATTATTGGACTTTTGTCATCAATATCCCTATATTGGGTGCTAGTGACTAGTCATACGGACACCTGCTCCCTGACCCGCACTCTCAGCTCTAGAAACTTTAATTGTAAAATTTATCTTATATATAATACCACACATGATATATTATATATAGGTTGGGATCACTAGTCTTTGCCCTGGTCACCACTCATGTTGCCTGAACCGTGTACCACCCCCGGATAATTCGTAATATATTTTATTTGATCTGCTGAACTTATTCGTCGCACGCTATTGCATTGACTCAACCATATATCCTTTTTGTTTTGTGACATTCGCCCCCCTCTCTCTCTCTCTCCCTCGCTCTCTCTCTCTTTCGGAGACAGCTCTCACTTATAGTTCTGAGGAACGACATTGTAGTAACTGCTCTGTGGCACTTCTTTCTCTATAAACGTGAAATAATCAAAGGTTTGCAATGTATAGAGCTAGATCACGCACACCTCGACCCTAAAAATGTTTATTAGTGCAAATTATCACGACTCACTGATTAACTGGTGCCCCCTACTGCAAGTATGTTATTTGCAAGTCTTGAAATCAAGTCTTAATGTTAATAGACTTCACTGGTGTAAAGCCCCAATAAGATTATATAGATTAAGTATCGATACCATGATAGTGCCTGGATAATATTTCTTTGTCAGGGGGAGATTTCCAGTCTGCCCTTCATTACGCACAATAAATTACAGTGGGCCATCAAAGAATTTATTCGATACGTTTGTCATGCCCCCCGATTAAAGATTTTACAGATTTCTGGATTTTGGTCGAATCATTGTCTTTGTAATCTTTTGAGTAAAAACCAGTGTTGTTGTTGTGACGGTGATCAGTTGACTTAGTAAGTAATTATTGGTTCCAGGAATGGTAACTTGACAGTGTATTCACTTAGCTGATCACAGATCTATTTAAGTGATTTTGTAGACAACGTCACGTTGTTTTCTAATTATACGTATCATTTGTTATTCTGCAGATGTGATGCATATCTTTATCCTTTGTGAAGGACATTTCCATTGAAACAAGGGTAATGAACTACATTGTTTTGGACCCTGCCCCTGGTAATGATTCTCCAACACTGCGTGTGGACACACTGCTTTAGTTTCCTCATCATTTGAAATAACTGTGGTGATGGAACTTTGCCAAGTAATACAGATAATCGGCTCGTGGTTGACTTATCCACTTGCATGCTACTCGTTTCAGCTACGTGCAACCCCTTCAATTACCCCTCCTTTGAGAGCCTCATTTAAAGAAACGCAAATCCTGCATACATGCCAAAAATCAGCCATTTGAAACCCAGCCGCACGGTTGTGTGAGCGACTATTACAAAAGGTAGAAGTAAAGGACTTGCAAATAAACAATGCCGGCTGCAGAGTGCAGACAATGCCAGTCCTGTGATTAGCAGAGATGTCTAACATATTGTGGGTTATATCAAAGTGGGTTCTGGAGGGAGAAACACGCTGCAAACCCAGCTCTGCCAACTAACACACTTAACTCCTTTAAATAAGCTGCCCTCTTTTCTAGCCTCACCCTATCTTTTCTCCAGTTAGACGGTCAAATACTCGGAGATCGTGCTTCTTGGGTTGGTCGTTTTCTCTAGTTCCGATCAAAAATTAGGATCTTATAGATTTTATACCCTGCTGAATCACAGCTGAATGATCAACCTTGTAATTTTTCTCTATATTATCCCCGTGCGTGTACGTGTTGGATTCAATTGGAGTAATATCTTTTAAATCGTAAGTATGCAGTGAAACTATTTTCCCCCTCCTCTTTGCATTCTTAAAATCCCTGGTCTAAATTAGTCATAAACTCAACAATGGATAAGGCATATATCCTTCTATTCTCTGTTGATTGCGATACGACGTAGGAACACTGGTTTTAGTCCAAGATATGTTAACCATAGAGGCAATTGTAATAAGTAGTCAATGGACATGGTCCGCTGCTTATTAAATAGAAATATCTTCATGGTCTGTAGTTGTATGTCTTGTATCGCTAAACTGCATTTCCTATGAATGCTTACTCTACCATTGAGCTTCAACATTAGATCAACAGATTCTCCAAGCTTGTCCTCCTACCGTACGAGCTAGCACTGCACTGTAGTAAGTTTTCTTTATAAATAAGAAAGCCTTTAACCGTTTATTGCGACTCTTTGTCATAGCCATTTCCTAAACACTGACTACTGTTTGCTCTGTTATCCAACATGGTCCATTAACCCAGTAAAATACACTGCGACACTTTTTTCCGGCGCCTCAGATTTAAGTTTCAAGAAAATGAGCGTCCTTTGCCATCCTTCACTCATTATTCGTATCCTTATCACTTTGTCGGTTCGTTAAAGTATCCTTGTCTGTAAGTACTCCGAATCAAATTGGACATGTTAACTCTTGTTCTGGACTTGTTCACGGTGAAGTGATTATATCCGAACATTTTAGTTTTTGCCAAATCAATCAGGCTACATGACTGCTTCAATCCCTCACGTGTATCTGACTGTAAAACTGTAAACATTCTTAGCTGATATGGACGTTAACCTGTAAAGTCTAAACCCCTCCTGTACTGCACTGGAGAGTTGGCCTGTAGACTCATTATCTAACTAATTAACTGATTATCTCATTAATTAATTGATTGACTAATAACCCAAATCTCCGCAGGCTACGGGTGAAGAAGAGAGCTGCCTATGTCCCGTAAGCACTATAGACTGAGCAATGGAATCGTGGGAAGAGTTAGCGTTATTAGCCTCGGAGAGATCAACGAGGAAATGTCCAAACAGATGAGCTGGTTAGAGATTATTTATTTTAATCATTCTTCAATTGTTATTTCAAATGTGTAATTGATCACATCAGAACTACAATACTAAAGTACAAAACTACAATCTATTCTACAATTCCCTATTCCTCAGGTGGCATTTTGAAAGGACGGGTAAACACTACCGTTACCAGCCGGGATTCCACTCAAAACGCCCTGTTACCTTCCCGGACGGAACAAAGTCCGGGATAGACTGCCGGGTTGTCCGGCTGGATAACGTCATCGCACCCCGCTTCAAGTGTACCGCCACCCACCCTAAAACTGGCCTGATTGTCGATGTGAGTAGTAGTTCTGGATTACAAATGTGTTTGATGTTGTGTACGCGTTTCCTGAGATCACTGCTGAATTATTAATCGTGTGCGTCTGCTGTTTTTAATACCAGATACACGGACATGGCAAGGCTTATACTTTTATAGTATCTTAATACCATATCGTAGCTTGGACCTTGGTACAGTGCAAAGTTAAAAGTCGTTTAAAACAAGCAAACCCAAGATCATGAACTCTTAACCAAGATAAAGCTCCACAAATGTTTACTTTGATGTTCAATCTGAATTTTAAGCGTCTATGGTGTATCCCAGACAGAGGTTGCCAGCTAGACTGTTTGACCCTTTTTCAACCGCTTTATAACGCAAATCACAAGTGCACCTTCCAACGTATTACACAGGAAACTTCCTCAAGTTTTCCACTTGACTTTATAAAACTCAATATGAAACTCACACCTTTCCCAACCACCTTCTGCCACCCTCTCCCACCACTCTTCCTCACATTCTGGTTACCCCCTACACCTTGTGGGGGCGAATATGACGTCACACCTGAACCTGCCCTCTACACATATCACACTGGAGTGGTACACATGTTTTTACTTGCTAGCCGGGAATCACGTGATTAAAAGGGCGTGACACTCTCCGGAGAGCACTGATACAACTCTCTCTTTCCCTCCCTCTCTCTCTCTCTCTCTCTCTCTCTGTGTCCAGTCTCCGCCTACAGATACAGTCATACTCTCTCTCTCCAGTCTCCGCCTACTCAAGTTAACACTTGAGTCGGCAGCCGAGCCCAGCTTCCACCACACTTCACACTCAATGTTGTTTCACCTCCACTTGACCTGCCTCTAAAATACTAACTGGTTATATGATAGGTGGGATAAGTTGGATACCATCCCCCGCCTTGAACAGTAGAGATATGGGGTATATTTAGTCTCACGATCGTCTCAGGGGGACTGTTCTCAAATTTCACAATATGATATATATGTTAGCGTTTGGATCTAGCCGTTTACAGCACGGCTTCTCGACACAGGTTAAATAGAATTTCCGATATTGTTGAAGGGATATTAAAGTGCTATTATCAGAGGAATTAACGGGGTAAGCTTTGTGGCGCCGCACAGTTTGCGCAGTGGCGGCGCACGATTAGCGGCAATCGCGCCGACCAATAAGCTATAACTAGCCGATACTTTGCAGTCAATCAAATAGAAAGCGAATATTGAAGACGGGAGCTGCAATTTGAAAATGTGTCAATACATTACCTGCTCTCCTGCAGCTGTCCTGTCACGCCTCAATATCTGGAACTGAACTCCAAACACCGTGTTAAACAAAACACAGCTCTTTAAAAATAAGATGGCAGCTGCTCTGCAGCCGGACATTGCAGCCAGTTTCTTGATGGATGTCTAGTGATTGTAAATCAAGACAATCTTTAAAATATGGCTGTTCTGTGACATGATTATAACTTCAAACGTATCCCGATCCCTCCGCCAGTGCACTTGTTTAGTTATACATACCAAGTTATACCAAGTTGCGGATAAATTTCTCTGGAATAATAGAACACCTTGTTGGTAATTATAGTTATTATCATTATCCACCGCCATTAATTTGTACAGTATCAAATCACTCACCCACCGTATAACGATAATTCGATACATATCAAAGTCGGCCATCACTATAATAATAAAAAGTTATAATCAGATTCTTTTTAATGACAGATTTTATCGGCGTGTTGTCTACCTCCACAATTGTTCAGGTGATAGAATCTTCAGCGAGCGCAGCAGCCAACAAAATCCTGGACCTGTTAGATGTGAACACCAACAAGAGGTGGTCAGGTCCCGAGTTCTTCGGTTTTACGAAGCCAGATGTTGCACGCGAGCTGATGAAAGACAGCGAGCATTTCCTTCCCGAACACTTTAACAAACGCAAGAAGTTCATGGATGAGAAGAACGCCAGCACAAACCAAGCCATTGAGGTAAGACACCTTTTTTCACCTTTTGTCACCTTTTACACCGACAGTATATTAATAGGGCTCAAACTTTGTTTAGGTTACATAATATGATGATACATAATATTATGATAAGGGTGGACATATTGGTGGATATTATTCAGGGTCCAGGGAATCAATATGAATTATTATTGGTTACACAGTACACATTTGTAGCTATTGTTTTGGGATATAACACAATAATAATGTGTAATTATACCTCTTGAGACCAGTCTCTCTCTCTATTAACACATACTTTAAAGTTAGTCTAATCAGATGTAGCCCTATATCAGCCGAATGAGACATCCCTCATTGGACTTCAGCTAGCTTGCATTATATCGTGTGAACCCTTCAAATGCCTGAATTATGTTGATAACTGTTAATTTAGAGGCCTTTAGAGGCCTTTAATTTCACTAAATAGAAATTATAATACATGCTTACCAGTGTCCACTCTATTGTTAAGTAAGAAAAGCAAGAAGTGAACAAATAATCGTATAATTAATAAATCCATTCGCGAGAAATGCATCACAAATAATTCAATTATTCAATGGATAAATTAATTAAATGAATGGAGATGAACAATTTGAAGAGATCAATCTAGCATTATCCCGAATGAAATTATTAAATTATATTTTCATTTGTATTTTAATATTTGATTGGTTCTCAATTTTGAGATGTTATCTTGGCAATTACTGGTGCTATAATAATATGTAAATAAAAGAAAATCACATTAAATGTGACCCATTGGTCACTATAATACTAGGCCATAAATTGTAGGTAATAACCTACTTAAAGGACCAGTTAACTGAAAAATTTGTAGTCTCCAATTTGGCTAAGATTTAAATCAGCTGTGACAAACTGGTAAAGAATCGTATCGCCGAAAGAACCAACTCTCTAGCGTACGTGTAACGCGTGTTATTGCAATAATAAGCTGTGGCCTCGTGACGTCATAAAGTCCCTCAGTGCGCGCTTGCATAGCGTAATTTACATTACAAATGTTTATCATCGTCAATAAAACACGTGTAACTCACTCAAATTTTAGAATTGTGACTATTACCCTAGTTCTCCAAAATCCTTATAGTTTTGGCTATCATCCTAACTAAAGGAATAGCTGATTGGATGTACAGTGCTCACGTTATGATTTTAAACAGTGATATAGGTTCTTGAACAGTGGCGGGTGAATGTACGGTTAGAAAGTTTCTGCTATTACAACTTATGTCATATGTGATAATTTTGGATTGTTTTCATTGCTTAATTACACAAGCAGGGAGACTGTACCGATTATTTTTCCCCAGTCCATGAAACTCTAACGAATTTAGAAAGGATACAGATAAGTAGGAGTTTGTTCAATTCCGAGAGCAATTATATTTATAGCATAGCGAAATTTCTAACTTTAATCTGCAAGTGTCTGCCAGTACACGAGACAAGAAGTCTGGCTACTTTACGGCCGTTCCTCTGGGACCATTAGTAGAAGTAGCTTCTATCAGAACAGTGCCGTGGAACAGAATTCCCGCCAAAATACCCGGTCTACCAAATAGTAAAATTACTGATTGGAGGTGTGTACGGTGTGAGGTGTGTTTTGAATTAGACTTCCGGCTTACCTAGTTGTTATCCTAATTGCATTATCATCGGTGCATAATATAAATAAACTACTGGTAAGTTTAAATACCAAGTGCAAACGTGTTCAGTCGATCGACCCACTGAACAACTATAGAATTTCCAAGACCCTATTATTCTCTGGCGATGTATTACGGCACGATCGATTGTTAGATGGCTAAATGACCAACGTTAATCTATACAATTCTAAAACTATGAGCTAGCACTTTAATCTAAAATACCTTTTTTATATTACTCCTGATTTTTACATTTCACGTAAAACATTGTCGCCAGAGGTTGATCATGGACACTAACAGCTTAATTTGAGATAAATGACTTATGAGTTTCTCTAAAGTTAACTCTAAAGTTGTGTAGTCCAGTCATTTATGGACATTTATGGAAATGAACCTGCAAATGTTCTAATACTCACGAAACTTTGCACAGACCTTCCCGAAGTTATGATTAAACGATTTTCGTTTGGAGACATTTTTTTGACCGTGGAGAAAACCCAGGAGGGCCACGCCCATATTGACCCAATAACGTAACCGACCCCTTGCTTCTGAAGGTCGTAGAGACTTCAAAATAGGCTTGAACGAAGCCGCATATGCATGTTTATATAGGAGTTATTGAGCAACACATGGCCTAAAATCCTTACTTTTCGATAAATTCGCCAAAAACCATTTTGGGCGTGGTGCTAAGCCCATTTTCGATATGATCGTGATGGAGTCTTCAGACAGGATGCAAAAGAACCGCAATTAGCATATTAATATATGACTTACGAACAAACATATGCCTTAAAGTGCTTACTTTTTCAGTTATTGGCGAAAAACTGATTTTCGGTTCCAGAAATCATGCAAAACTATGGGTATCTGGTTAATGGGGCTATGAAGGCGCTAAAGGTTTTTGAATGTGTGCAAATTGTGCAGAATGGCCATGTTTATATACAACTTATGAAGCAACATGTACCCTAAATTACTTACTTTTCGAGTTATTCGGGGGAAAAGATTGTATTATGTCCATTTTTTACCTGTAAAATACAGTCTCACGAGCTACTCTGCGCGCAAGAGGGACTTTATGACGTCATCGCCAAAATAATACAAACGCTATTTACACGCGTTAGAGAGCAGTTAGAGATTTAGGAATTTCGACTCGTTGCTTAGTTTGCTATTTGTCACAATCTGTCAAAATATGAGGATAACTTTTTTTTCAGTTAACTGGTCCTTTAAAAATTAGGTAATATGAAGTCTTAATATTTATTGCTTAAGTATTTATTTATTATTAATTACTCCAGATCTCAGTATAATATAACCATTATTTGATAAAATAAAAGATATAATATATTGTCTCCCCCACGTACCATTCTAACAACCCCTCCTCTCAGAGCTGGAGATATAATATATTGTCTCCCCCCCCCCCCACGTACCATTCTAACAACCCCTCCCTCCCAGAGCTGGAACATGGTAAAATACTCCGCTCCAAAAGACCTGCTGTTCTCCAACCTGTACGCCCCGACCATGGTCAGCTCCCTGGCTAACGATGCCATGGTTAAGAACCTGGAGAACGGTATCCACAGTCTCTCCTCCACCTCCAACCACAACAGCCCCACTCGGAATGATAACAATGATAACCACGCGTACGTGACTACTCAATTCTGCTCTGTTTTCATAACACTTAGTGTTTCTCTGGAAACAGCCTGGAAACTGCTCTTCCAAGTTCCTGGCAAGATGCCACGCCCCTCTTACAACTGATTTAATGAGATTTAACGCCCCTCTAACCTCAGGTTGAACGGGTTGTTGCTGAACGGTAACGGTTCACTTCCTGGTCTGGTACTGAACTCTCTGGCTACCACCCACAGTTCACCTGTCACCTCCAACACAAGGTAAATGTCAACTTTGATGAATCTTTCGAAATATATCTTTCGAAGTATATAGCTTCTGTAACTTTAAAGCTTTGGTGACCATTTAACATACTATTAATCGTATAAGGAAATCAGGTGCATTTATACCTCTAAAACGCTAAAATCTCATACGTTAAACTGTAGTAGTCCCGAATCCCGATTACTGCAAGTCACCACATGATGCAGATGGTGTTACTCGAACATTCAGGATCTCTGTAACGGTTTAACCCTTTCAGTCCCGTATCAACCGGTTCAAGAAGCGAGGAAGCCCTCAATGTAACCTGGGTTGAACTGCAGAGCGTGGGAAAAGCCTATCCTACTCCGGTTAGTGTTGTTGGAGTTTGGAGCAAAGATTTACTGTTCATGTTATCTAAGAGAGTAGAGGGCTGCAGCCCCACATTTGTATTTATTTCTCCCTTTCACTTATTATTATCCAAAATCAGTGTTTCTTACTTGTTTATGATTGGTATGATTGGTTCATTTGAATCTCTGAATCAGCCTTACAATACTAGCAGTATAATTCCAATTACAGGATCAGTTTTGGTTTTACAAGCACTCCAATCGGAGGTACAGGTTGCAGCCGGGGTACCGCGCTCTGCGGTGCGCGCGCAACACCAGCAACGAGGAAGTTTTCATCCTCAGCGAGGTGAGATTTGAGACATTTCACTCAAAGTTATAGTATTTATTTAAAATTCCGACCGTAGTACATACTTTTCGATCGTTCAACGGCTACAAATTTATAATTGTTATAATGGTTATTGCTAAGATTCAGATTTCAGAGGTTGCCATGAGAACCATAACAGCCACATTCGGCCCCAAAAAGCAGAGATCGAGTTTGTCACACAAATAAATCATTTAAAGTCTATTTCCGAATTGGGCTTCCAATAAATATTGTTAACTTGTCTAATTTATGAACGTAGAATTAAACGTACCGTGAACCACGGACTAAGGGATCATAAAACTCAATTAATTTAAGAATTTATTAAATAAAATAATAATTATATGATAATTTAATCCAGGCCTGGATTAAAACTCAGATTACTAGCCTTCAATCTTGAACCTGATAACAGATTGAAATGGAATTTACTTAATGTGCCAAAAATAACCAAATAAAGGCCTTGTTACCATCTCAATTAGCTTGCAATCTACTGTCCAGAAAATTCCTCGAGATCAGGAATTAGATCCATGTTAATTGTTAATCCGCATTTTATCGTTTTGTTCCAATTTTTAATAATTTCTGGCCATGACCTAACACCAAAATATTTAATTGACTCTTTGCAGCTTGTAATTTATCCTAAATTTAAACATTTTAGTATCCCGAAGATAGATTTATCAATACTTTGTCACAGTAGTCTTATCTTTTGCTGCCTAATATACTGAAAATTACACGGAAGCACTCTTTAAAGGAAGCAATTTTACCGTCCATTAGTGACTTCGATCATAACTTATCTCCAAGATTGATCTCTTCAACCCTATTTCCTTGTTGTACGGCGAAGAATTATATTTTTCTACGCCGTGGCCCGTGGCAAACCCACTTTTACGTTAATAGGTTAATAAAGGAATCTGTAACTCTGTAAACTTACTGTTTGCCATAGCGACACATCAAGTGGCCGTTATATATTGCGTAAGATATGATTTAGTAACTATTGACTGAAGTCAAGCAAGTAACAAGTTGCTGAGTGGAATGGAGCCACATTGAAAGAAATTTATCTTTTTATTGCTGGAAACAGATTTACGTCCGAAATTTAAACATAGTTAATATCACTTTATATTGACAATTTTTCAGATTCTCGCAAAAGAAGGTCGGCCTTTCTACAGATGCTCCTGCAAGAATTCCTCCCGGGAAGACTTCAACTCAACCAAAGTTGTGCAGGAGTTCATGAAGGTGAGTTAAACGGACCAATGTTCTGCAGTAGCTAGATGAAACCTAGATGAAACCTCAATCCTTATCCATAAACGCAAATATATTCACAAACTATAATTATATGGTCAATTATTACGGCAAATGCCGTTAATCCAACCCGGGCTGTTAACATTTCCTCCCTTGAAAAACATCCACACCAGGAAATTGATATCCCGACAAAGAAAGCGTGGGCAGGACCTGACTTCTTCGGCCTGACTCGGAGTGCGGTGTTACAACAATTGTTAGCAACAGAACAGGAGGAGAAGTTGTGTGCTATTACTCCCACCTATCTGCCCAGCCCTATCTCTCCTGTATCCAGAGCTAATGGTAAGTACCAGCCTTATATTATCAACTATTTCTTCAACTTATCATTTTATTTTTATACCACTGAATGAGATTTTATAGTGATCATATGATTTTATTTTTCATGGGGCTCACTTAGCGATAAGTTATTTATTTCCCGTTTTTATTTGCACAGAGACAATAGTAAGTTATTCTTAGTCGCTTCAGAATTTAAAAATTTAGTTCACGAAAAATGTTAATAGTTTTAATTACCTCTAAATATTGAGGAGACAAAAATTATCCATAACTGAATTAATGATTAGGGGCACGGGGCGACATCTTTCAATTTATTCTGGAAAAAATAAATATCTACTGCTTTTGATATCCTGGGGACAACTGCCAGCTATTATACCAGTGGCAGTATTTATCCTGGTGGAAGTAAGGAATGTGTAGGTTTCGGCATCAATATCGAGAAATTGCCTGTCAATGAGCTTAAAAAGACAGTAGTTAAAATATGTTCTAGCAAAAGGTGAGTACTGTAACTGAAACCAAAATACTCAGGCCTTCGAGTGCTTTAAATTTTAAACTTTTAAAACTTTTAAAACAGCTACTGCTGTCACGGGCCAGATTTCATACCTTTATGCAACCGTACTCAAATTAATACTCCGTGCTTGCCATGACATCATACTAATACTTTGCAGAAATTTGCTCTCTATTAATGGGATTGTTATTTTGACAATTTGTGCGGATTTAAAAAATCAAAATTTAATCACAATTTGAGGAAAATGTCAGTGGGGGAGCACTTTTTTCGGTTCCTAAAATTTTAAATTTCAGCACAATATTTTAAAATCATCATAAACATGAGGCAGGCATTAATACTTTAATATTAATAAAATATTCCTTCTCAATCATTTAAGCACCTCAGTTATTCATGATACAACATCATGTAAAACAAAAAGGGTTTAATAGTATCTTACCTCGGCGCTTGGACCCTTGAGGATTGTTACAATTTCCCGGGGTGTCCGTGCATTCCGTGCGTTAATTTCCTTTTTTACCAGGACCATAATTAAGTGATCTTCTTAATCGCACGTTCTTGGGGTTCGAAGTATACGGAAACTTTTTATAGTCCTGATCTAAAGTTTAAGGAAACGTTTAATAGTTTTAATGACCTCTATTAAGAACGAGACAAATGATCTGTAACTTTCCGATCAGCAACAAACAAACGATCATAATATTATGATATCGATAACTCTGCAGAAACCAGCGCTTTTGCTAGTAACTACTTTCCATTTTTCATCTTGCAACAAAGACTTAGAGACTATCAATTACATACTCGGTTTTCTTTATCTCCCGTTTTTATTTGTAGCGCCAATAATAAGTTCTTCTCAATCGCTTCACATTTTTAACTAACAGCTGTTCACGGATAGTGTTAATAGTTTTAATGACTTCTAAAAGCAGCGGGACAAGTAAATTATCCATAACTTGATTATGATTTAATTATTGAAGATCGAAGAAATCATTTGTCTCGGACAATATACCTAAATCAATGATTGAACTCGCGTTGATCTCACTTTTATTGGTGCCCGATCTAGTCACGGTTTTCGCTTAACAGCATTAATCAAACTTAAAAGTTTCTTCACTCCAGCTACGAGATTACATCGTTTCAAGACATTTATAAATGTCTGGTTTGGAACAAAACTAATTTTAACTGCCCATCGAGCGGTTTTGGAAACGCAAAAAATTCGGCTTAATACGTAAATAATTAATACGTAAATAACTACGTAAATAACTTGGGCTATCGGGCTACAAAGTGTCAGAAAACTGGTGGACTAAAATAGAACAAGTGGGCCGCACCCTAATGGCTTGGACTTTGAAACGTCACATGTCAACCACCTAGACCTGTCAACTCTGATTGTAAAAACAATAACGGCATAATTTACCTCCAGTTCTGTGTCTCATAATTGCACCGAGAATGCTCAAGCTGTTGTCTCTGAAAAAAAATGGAAAAACTTTAGTGGTTTCTATCTCCCGTATAAACAAGATAATAAAACTTTTCCTAGTGTTCGACAAGATACAAAAGTTGACAGAGTGCGTCATTTCAGCGAGTTTGTTTGAGCCGTTGTCACAGTATCTCGACAGTCAGGGATACCGGAATATCAACCACACAGGAAATCTGAAGAACCCCTTCACTTACCCCGGAGGCAAACTTCCTACTTCTATGGTACGTGATCCTGATATTGTTTACAATTTCTAACACATTCATTTTTTCCGATCAACAGAAATGTGATATTTACGAAATCATTGCTAATTTCCATGAATATTGATGTGTTCGCACAGAATGAGAACATGTTTAATTGTAGCCGCAGCGAAAAGATAGATATCACTCAGACGCCACATAATATTCCGGACGAACGACCCGTTCTCTGCAACACGATCTGATCAGAACATCTCGTGGCTAATAACTAGGTGCCCATATGGTACTGCTGTGATCCAAGCGTTAACATGTTGTGAACATTAACCACCTGGTAGCCTCCACTTCTCTCCTTTGTCAGATCTAAATAATGATATAACTGAGGTAGCACATCTTTAAGCTTATTCACACTTGCAGACTACTACTACCTGTACTGCGAGTATAGGGAGTTAGGGATCATGTTAGATAGCCGTGAGCTATTATTTAGTCTCATTGAATAATCTCGTATCTGTAAAGGTATAAAGAAGGCTGCCATGTCTAGACGCGATCTGTTGAAGTACTGGGTTTTTAGACTATCGGCTAAAATCGGAGCTGGAATAGAGGCTAAAAGAGGTTCTAATAAGTGGGTACTCAAGGATACGTGTTCAAATGCTCACTGCTCAAAATATATATCCAGACATTTTCTTGTGTTTGATTACCAAGTTTCAGGAAGTTGTCTCGGTTGCAATATAATGAAACAGCCGTAATCTCCATTTGAAGGGACCCTGTAAATGTGGAATTAAAATTATATCCGGTTCTGGTACTTGGTTATAGCGACGGAACTGTTTGTTTTAAAACTTTCAACTGATATCATTATCAGTAACTCTCTATGTTACGGGATTCCGCCAAAATAATATAATAATTTAATATAAAATCTAAAATTATACTTTTTCAGAATTCGCCGATCGCGGGTCTGACAATGCCACCACTGAACGGTCAGCTCATGCAGAGTGGTATCAACTCCATGCTATCAGTTTCACCTGACATGTTGTCCCCCCGGTTCATGCAGGTAAGTTATCGGGGATATTCTGGTAATTTGTGGGAAGGGTTATAAATCATAAATTTTAGAGGTTAGATTCTTTGGGATTTCCAGCACAGGCTTGATTGATTGAAGAACGAAATGGATAAATATAAATTAATGATGATGGTTAAATATCTAAAGCTCTAAAGCAAGGTTACAACTTACCCCTCTTTCAGAGTCTACCCAACTTTATGAACGCGAGTAACTCCCCAGTGACCAGTGTACCTTCCAACGGTACCCTCACCCCAAATCGCAGCTCCTTCTCCAGGTACATTTTATAACAGCTACACTTTATTACATATTATTTATATTCGCATTTATTGAACTTTCGGGACTTCTCACGCTCCATTTCGTAAATTTTAAATATTAATTGCAATGTTGGGTATGTTTAGCTTCGTTCCAAGAAAACAAAAGTAGGGAAGCACCTATGATTTCGTGTCTGAATTATCAAGTTACGCTTTATTTCCAGTCACGTCTTCTACTTAAATTCCTAAAATAATTCTAGATTCGCTTTCAATGCTTCAATGCAGTACATAGGAATGCATGATCAGCAAGAAACGTGATAGTGAGATAATGTTATCGTAAAGTTTTGTCTCGAATTAAATTAGGTGGAATTTAACAGTATTTTGCGTTTGCATATCATGGCTTTGTTTTGTAGCGACAGCCACCTCCCAGTTATCAATTTAGCCGTTTTATTTTGAAATTTAGCCCTTATAGAACGCCTTCAAGTGCCGTTTTATAGCCAGAAAGAGCCTACTTTATTAGTCCTACTATTCGAGGGAAATACTTCTAATGATACTTCTTATCTGCTTACTATTACTTGTGGGGGCAACTTTAAATAGAGCCCTAAGACAGTAGATAGTAACCCCAGCTCAGTAATATTATGATATTGCAAAACTAAAATCGTACTGGATGTTAAGTTACCCAGGCAGCACAATAATTCATCGCCTCCCCTCCTGAAGGGAAGAGATTTATAACATCTCTTTGTATCCTAAGGTACATGTGTGTGAACATGACGGAGTGTATCAGACAGCTGAAACTGTTCATCAACTCACTCTACGCTCTACAACAGGACGATAAGATGAACCTTATTCAGGTACGTGCTATGCATTTCACTTTCGCTTTCGTCAGTCGTTCTTTATTTCTAAAATTTTCATGTTAATCAGTTTTTTCTAGTCTGTACGCGGCAGTACTTATACAAAGAGCTATAGCGTTATAATGTACCTTGTGTATACATGCTGTGTGAAATAAATGTTCCTTGTCATCTTTAAAAACTGTTGAAAAGTACCGGAGTGTACTACTCTTTTAAAGCTGGATGGTTTTTTCCAATTATTGATTGATTCAAAAACTGCCTGGAGCTGATCATGAAAGAAATAGAAAAAAAAGGAGGAGTGTTAGAGACAGAGTTTAGACTTCTCAGACTTGGCACCTGGTCGCGGCGTTCGGGCGTGAACGTCTGTCTCGTTCGTCCCGTTCGTCTGTCTCGCTCGTCTCGCTTGTTATAGACCCACGAGATTGATTAGATTGAAAAAAAAACCAGCCCTTTCTAGGTTACACGATTGAAATTTAGGGCGTTCCGTAGAATTTAGATTAGACTACTGGATAGCACCCTGGTAGATAGAAAGTTTGGCAGTCTGCAACATCATCCCAGTCAGATCCTCCATTTAAAAATATCAAAGTTACAGTAACATGCTCATGGAATTGGCTTCAAGGCAAAATCTGTACAAATTTAATGCAAACGAGCGTTGGACCTATATTTTTATCGACCAGAAATGTAAATATTGCTTATTATATAATATATTATATATTTATTGGAATATGCCGAATGCCAATATAATATATATATTATATATATATATGATATTATGTTTATATTTGTATATAATAATATGTATTAGAACATATAATTGTACTTTAACGAAAACCTTTGCAAAATGCAAATTTAAGGCAACCCAGCACCGGAGCTATTTTTACCAACGAGCTATTATCAGATATTATATATTATTATTATATAAAAATTATTATATATATTATATATTATATTATTTATTATGTATATATTATATTATTACAATTCAACATGCCCATTATATTATGTTTTCTATAGAAATGGGGTTACTCTGGTTTCTAAGACCTGAAAATAGCTTGTTGTCCCATTGTGCTGTGAGATTATCCTCTTTGAGACCTCCTGAGTATCACACCAACTAGATATAGATCTAGATATAGCTCACATTGGCCAACCCAAACCTATTGTCTGTCTTTGTCGTGTCTCTACTGCAACCACATGCATGGGTTATTTTGGAAGGTTGGCGCTTTGTAACGGTCCCAATTCCCATTATGTGTTAAGTCATGCGGAGAGCATTTTTTTAAATATAAAGTGTCTCAAGATGTGTACACTGCAGCAATTGAGATTTATCTTAAGATCTAGATGTATCTTGAGCTTTTCTAGTTCTGCCCCACATTGATAAAGTGATAAACTGTTAGTATGATTAAAATGATAGTGCAAGTGCCTCAACACAAGTGCCTCAACACAAGTGCCTCAACACATATGGAAACTTATCGGTAAAAGTATCATGATACACCGTTTCAATCTTTATCTTCCTCAAAATGTGTGGTATTAGAGCCTTTTATTTAAAACGTGTTTGAAAATTAATGTTGATTAAGTACAGTACTGAGTTTCAAACGATATATCAAACTGGATGGTTGATGTTATGACCAAAGCTGCTGAATGTGTATCATACTTCAGCTTCCTGATCTTATCATAGAGTAACATAATATAACCCTGCAGTTACAGAAGCTGAACACGGATATGGAGAGGCTGATGTTACTGCTGAAAAACGAAACTGCTGATTTGAACCAGAAGATTAACTCAGTTGATAAGAAAGCTTTTGTTTCTCCAGCCAGTGGTGAGTTTTCAGGGCGGCTTATTACAGAGCGGATCTAATTGTTTGGGGCCGGAATTATCATAGTATTATTATAATTACGATGTGGCCAAGCTAAGGCTACAGTTCAACATTTAAGGCTTTTTTGTAACAAACAATCATCATATTATTACCATGATGGTGATATTTCCCTACCAGTAGAAATAAACAATGGAATAAAACAAAAAACATTGTTACTGAATTTAACCTACATGTTTATAGTTTAACCGCTTTGTTGAACCTCTAATGCTAATATATCAGGATCAGGGTTTATAAAGCTAGAGTGTGACGGAGATGGGAGACTTGTAGACCAGAGCACGGAGACAGATCCCTCATCTGGCATCAACTTGGAGCTGGAGAAACTCAGAGAAGTCTTGGTTAGTCCGTCTGTCCGTCACGTCTGTCTGTCCGTCGCGTCTGTCTCTTTAAGAGACTGAGTCGCGTCTGTCTCGACATCAAACTGTCGATTTTAGAGTGGCGCGAATCTGAAAGGCAGAGGTTTTTCTCTGCATTTTCATGTGTCTAGATGGATATGTTCATGAGGGTAGAAAATGGCGCTGTAAGATCTCTCAGTGAACGAACATTTCCAATTAATTGTCATTTAGTCCAATAAAGTTGATCAGAGTGATCCTGCGCCACGTGTAATTAAGTTAGGCCCTGAATAAAGATACCACTTAACCTGAATCACTTTAGATGTTGTATTATGTTACGTCCTCGCTCATTTCAACTTTCATTTGCTCTAAAAAGTGTAATTTGCGATATTGTCAAGGGGACGTGAAGATTAACTGCGTGCCGAAACTCGATGTACTGCTACTGATTGGATCAAACAGCAGACATATATCGTATTTTCAGTATCTTTACCATAATTTCTTGAATATTTCTAAATAGTCACATAAAACGGCATAAGTTAAGTTTATAATTTCATCGTCACATTTACCATAATATTATTATAGATTTTCGGAAAATATCGAACTGTGCAAAAGTAAATCACGTGATATTTAACATTAAGAAAACTTTGCTACCCGACAAAAGTAGTAATCACGTGATACTGTACATTATAAACTATCCGATGGTCACATTGCGCCACTTCCTCAACAATTCTACCCTACACCTACAGGCAGGAATATACTGAATACTCCTTTATAAATGTAATGTGTATACGCGTCTTCCTGCATAAATATTGAGTCTCAACACACACGGGCATTAACTTTGCAAGTGAGCCTGTGTATGTGGTTATTGCTACCTCCGCATGTATTCAGTATATATGAAGTGAGGGATGTAATGCGGCGGACAGATACATACCTGTTACTAACCACTGCTTGGTGTTGGAAAGATCTTCCTGACTTTGCCTTGTGTCGGCACTTTCTCCCTTTTCTTACATTTCACACAGAAAATAACCGCGTGTAAAATGAAAATCAACATTCAACAACCGTTTTCCTCCGCATGACATAACCTCCCTGAACATCCTTTATTTTTTGTGACATGCACGTTGGGTGCTCCTTCATAAATATTTCTACATAAACTCGCAACTTGCCGTAACCTCTGACTGAAAGTGTCCTTTGTCATGCATCCCTCGCTTCACCATCCGGCAACTTCTACAAAGAAAAATATGCCCCGGTAATAATGGATATATAATAATGTTATTGTACATAATCATATGCATACATAACGTCCAATGGTGGAGAGGATTATTATGTTGTAATACATGTATATCTCTTTACAAAACGTGAGTGTTTACAGCTTCTTGCTTGCCAGGTCCAAGGTAAAACGACCAACTTTAAAAGAGGATTGTTTTCTGTATCACGCAGCTGTTCGCGGGTTGGATCGTGTTCAGGTTTTATTATATCGCACGAGTCGTCGCTCTTGCTGGAACGTGGAGTGAAGTATGCGAGTCAATGATAAGTTTGTTCTAACAGTCAATGATTACACTATCTCTGGTCATTGTAATGAAAGGAAATTTATTGAAAAAGAAACTTGATGACAAACGGAGAGGAGATGTGGGTGGGGAGATATGGAATTATCACATTTTACGTGTACCCACGCTAGGTTAAATAATTTGTTATTTAATAAGGTTTCAACAATGAATGTGGGGTACAATCATGGAAAATATTTTTAACACTTTCTGACTTCATCCGTATCGAAGCAAGGCTATTATCTCAGCGTATCTGTAATCGAGTTTCCTCAACACATAAAATCGGAACATTCTGATTAGGTCAAATGGACTGAATGATAACCAGTCTTTCCCACGGTATATCCAATTTCTCATATTCTCCAGTTTGTATCCATGCTTACAAGGAGGATGATAGCATATCTCCTGATCTGAATATGACTTAACGTGACAATATGAGATCATGATCACGATCTTATGAATATGAGGGATCACACCTCGCCCCTGTACTTACAAAGGAGAGTAGTTTGCTGCACATTGCAATGAATTGCGCGGCACCAGTAAAACCCATGTGAGCCCCGCCCCTACAAGTGCAAATATCCTCTACTTCAGGGCAGCTTCCAATAATGATCTCGCTCCATTATTTACATTATCTAGTTGGGATGGCTAATTGCGGAGGATTTGGTAACAATTTGTAACTTGTTTAGTAGGGGCAGCAGCTGGGTCGCAATTATACTATATTAACTGGTTTTGTGGCGGGCCATAGGGTGTTTAAAACCACAGATATTGGGGATCTCTCACTTGTAGCAAGCCACTTCGAGTATCAATGCTCAAGTTTCCATTATATAATGTGAAGGAACCTGGTCCACTTTTGCCCTGTAGGGTGACCAGGATACTACAATTATTATTACACGTAACCTACTTCTCCTACTACTATTTACTAAGTAACTAGTAGTAACCTACTTGTCCTACTACTAAGTAACTAGTAGTAACCTACTTCTCCTACTACTAAGTAACTAGTAGTAACTACTTGTCCTACTACTAAGTAACTAGTAGTAACTACTTGTCCTACTACTAAGTAACTAGTAGTAACTACTTGTCCTACTACTAAGTAACTAGTAGTAACTACTTGTCCTACTACTAAGTAACTAGTAGTAACTACTTCTCCTACTACTAAGTAACTAGTAGTAACTACTTGTCCTACTACTAAGTAACTAGTAGTAACCTACTCGAGTACTTGTCCTACTACTAAGTAACTAGTAGTAACTACTTGTAATTGTCCTACTATAATACCCTGCCTTGTGGTCACATACTACAATAATAACAACTCTAACCATGACCCCACTTTCAGGTTCAGTGTAACTCCTGCCAGAACTCAGTAACCTTCTGCTCTGGCTGTGGAGGACGTCTTGCCCTCTTTGTACCAGGGTCCACAACCGGTACTAGCGCTGCGGAGGCGGTGTCCACCTCCCCTGACGATGCAACTGTTGTGAAGAGTGAGGCAGCGGTTTCCAGCAGTGCTGAAACTACTAATGGTAGTCCTAAAACCGAGGAAAAACCGAGGTGAGTGATGTTTAGAGCTCTCTATCTATCTCTGATAATGAGATAGAGCATATTCAATAGTTATACATCATATTTACATATTAATACAAACGGTCAATAGTGTTAATATATTATAACACACGGTGGGGATAATTATGGAAATTGGCATTTCGCCCCAAATAACGTGGGAACATCAACAAGTGTCAGCATTTTCAATTCTCCCCGGGTGTACCTCACACGTACAGTCTCTAACTAGACAACAATGATGTCATCTAACACAGTGTGTGTGTGTGTGATGCAGTGTAATAAATCTTCAATTTCCTAAGAATAAGCAGTCACAGTGATACAGAGTGACTGATACATGATATGTTTTTCAGCAACTGGCCGCTAGAATGCGACAAGATCTCGGAGCATGCCTGCAAGAAAATAAAGCTGAACAACAAAGGACTGTAGAGGGTCCTTGTGCGAGAACGTTATCTTATCGTAACGAGAGAAGAGAGAGATTGTTATCTGTAGACTCTATCTTAGAGCTACTATCTTAGAGCTGACTCTAATTCTTTAAGTGATAAGGGAATGAGGAGAGAACCGTTGAGTTGTAGTAGTACATATATCTGAACCCCGTATAATATCGGGTACGTTATTTTTACTGAGAAGAGTAGACGAAGAATTGAAGAGAAATATAAATACATTTGCCAAGACGAAAAACGGATATTAAGATTGAGCAACAAATACAATTTGTTCCCATATAATAGTCGGCGGTATATTAGTCGGCGGTATAATAGTCGGCGGTATATTAGTCGGCGGCTCTGTTTTGAAAGAAGATTTGTTACAGCACATTGAGCCCGAAATGAGAATTGCTGTGAAATTTTAAAGGATTTAGCCCTACTTGGGGTAACCAAAGGATGATATCATCAATGATGAATTATAATGCGTGGATGGAGTTCGAGGGTATCGCCTCCGTGTCCGTTCCGAATAGCACACATTGCAACGTGGTTGCTAAGCAACGGAGGTGAATTTGTGGAATGAAACGGAGCACTTACACCGACAAATCTTGTTCTTTTAAGATGCTGACATTTTTATTGACTTAACCAATCGTTCAATTTGATCGACTTCAAGGCCTCTTAATTTGGATTTGACAGTTTGTCTAGGTGTTGGTCTCCGTTTAGACGATATGATTCAGATTGGTTTTTAAATAATTGCATTGTTGAAGATGTAAATGGTTGCCATGGTAACAGTGTTTAATTTTTGGTTATAAAAATAAATTATTACGCGTTGATGTCAGCATATATGATATATATGATATATATGAGTACAGCTGGAAAGCTTTTGGCATTTTTGCTAGACTTAACCTCGCCCCTACCGTGGTATGAGCCACACTGTGCCCAATGTTATTATATAATCGATAATTTATTAACAATTTTATTAGTGCCATGGGTGATTTGTGCATGTTTGTTGTAACAAAAGAAGCTAATCTTTCGCACCAATCTAGATATATTATAATGATGGATCGTCTATGATATATGAATTATTTTATAGATATTCACAGAACCTATATCATGAGGTTAAATAGTTATATCGTAACATATATTATATAATTTTACAGTATATTGCAAGGAAATGTTTTGCCACTGTGTCGAACGAATTGTTAGTATGTATTTTTTGGAATATTAGTGTGCCGTTTTGATCTTTCGTAAGTTTTTAAAGTACACAGACATTGATGATATGTTATATCGCTGGGTCACCAGCCCGGCCCCCTTTTTGCGTCATGAAGCATTTTATTTTAAATGATCAGACTATTATATATGATGACCACAGCGCTAATTATGCATATGATGTATCTCTATTATATTATTATGTGTTACATTGAATTTCTTTGCACCAGAGCAGATACCATCCTGCAGTATTACATGTTCACTTAAGGGTTTAGGGATAATACGTGGTGTTGTCACCTGTAATGGTTAAGACGAGCAATTGTCGTGCAGCGCACTGACCGTGTCGCGCGACGGTCGCGTGTTTTAACTGTAGACACCATGTTTAGTAGTCATGGTTCTCGGTGTGAAAGACAGTCTTTGGTTAACGTCATGGTCTAAGGAGCTGTTATGTTTAGCAAGCTTCATCTTTTATATTTCTCACGGCCTTCCACCGAATCTCGTGAACTCCTTTGTTGAGAAATTGTTAGAACCTTTTGTCGACTTATTAGAACTACTCTCACAGCCGGATATTCTCACAATTTAGTGGCAGTACATTGAGGTATTTGTCAGATACCATTGAGATAAAATCATACCAGGCCTGGAGGGGGTTGTATCACACCAGGACCATGTCTATTCGCGTCACGTGACTGGATGGGAAATATGTTTACGTATGAGTTTCAGGGTTTTAATTGAGTACGAGTTCTTTTTACGGACTAGAGTTTTGTAGAGTTTTGTCCCCGTCTAATTAATTGATTAGTTCATAATTTGTTAATTAGCTCCACTAATTAGTCTATAATCGGTTAATTAGTTCCACTAATTAGTCTATAATCGGTTAATTAGTTCCACTAATTAGTCTTTAAATGGTTAATTAGTTCCACTAATTAGTCTATAATCGGTTAATTAGTTCCACTAATTAGTCTATAATCGGTTAATTATTTCCACTAATTAGTCTTTAAACGGTTAATTAGTTCCGCTTGGTCCCTCGAGGTCATACCTTGGAAATGGCCGGTGGAACACTGTTGTCTTTTGAAGCAACCCTTCAGACCAATTTAATGATGTTGTACCGTGTAGTGATAACATTGCAGTGAACCATCCTGACATTGCTCGAGTGATTTCTTGAAAATTTGAAAGTTTGTTTCAATTCTACCCCTCTTGTTACACATAAAATCAAAGACTATAATAATTATTAATTATTTGCTTGTCACATCCAGATAATTTAAAAACTTAGTTAAATTTCTGAACACATTAAAACGATTAGAGTGGATCTTGAATAAATTTAAATATGCGAACTTACATTCATGGAAAGGGGCATGAAAAATATTTCTGTGTGGCATAAAATGTTGGATATAATGCCACTCGACAATTTCCACACATTTAAAATTTGCGAGATGCTGCTTTTGAAGAAAGGAGAGCAATGACAATAATATGGTTCACTGTTGAAAATCTTTGCTTTGCACTTTTTACTTTTAGAACTGTGATTTTTGATACAGAATAATATATGATAATGATGAACACTCTATTGATATATAATGGACGACTATGGAAATAACGATGTAGAACTTCTATTTGGGTTCTATACTAGTGAGACATTATTATCGTAATATTGTTGTGTCTTTTATACTGTTCATACATTCCAAGCACATACCAAGATCTGCCTGGAATTCACCACAGAAGCATTATTCTGTGAAATGTGATCGATCAAACACATTTTTGTCCAAGAGATATTTCATTTAAATTTTAATATGAAAACAAAAAGACAATGATTGAAAGAATTATTTTTCTTTCATCTAAACGCATATCTGACGAGTAAAATGTCAGGTACAACGACACTGGCAAACCTGCATATTGTCCATTGTTGAAACTTTTGATTGTTTGATCATTCCACTCATAGTTTAAACACATTGCGTGGTGAAATTCCGATTGTTACGCGAATATATTTGGGACAATCTAGAGCTAGAGACAGTTATATCTTGATACGTATCTTTTTAACACGATGTTTGTTATATATAACGTGATAATATACCACGTACAATACAAGGAAGATTATAAACTCTTAACGGACACCACGACGTGTATGTTTGTATGTGTGTGAGTGTGTGTGTAATTTTGGCTACAATATACGAGATAAGATTGATTACAATATCGTATCCATTTTCAGGATATGTGATATATATTATATAATAAATACTCTCTCGAGAGTATTAATTAATACCCACTACCAAAGTACACACGTTAGTTTAATTGGATCTTTACTTTTGAGCCTTTATACCCGTTTTTATAGAAAAATATGCCGTAAATTAAATATTATCTTCGAGGTAATTTTATAGTGCAGTATTTTATTTAAATCAATGATATGCAGACTGTTGTATTGTCCGCAGTATTGATTAACACAGCGGACAATATAATAATGGATATGTATATCTCAAGTTTGGAATTTTAGAGCGTTGGAAAGTTATCCCAACCGAACAAAAATTACCCATATTAGTTAATCTTGTGGACTGGAAAAATGATTCTGATTTTCTCCAGATAACCTTGATTTGGAAAATTGTTCTTGGACAAAAGAACAGCGCGGCTGAATTTTATAGTGAAGAAGAAAAACAGATTCCAAATTCTTGTTATACATGTTACAGCATATTATCGTTCATAAGTTATAGCTTTGTGTGGACGGTTAAACGAAAAAACACACAGCACAGCTTATATACGTAGAAAATTATTCAGTTTAAGGGTCTGAAATACTCCGACCTGACCTTGACCAAAAAAAAGCAGTTTATTGAGTACTTCTTTCTAGAGTTCACTTATTTTAGTGACAATTACCTGGTCGAGGCAGGGCGGGGTATTACTACCCTAATATATCAACTATAACCCCTCCAATAGCGGGCCACTGACTACGTGCCCGCCTGTTTTAGAATTTTCGGGTTTTTGGGTTTGCTGGAAATTTCCACACATTTTAATATAAAAGTATGTACATTTTAATTTAAGATATTATGTTAATTTATAAGGTTGTCACAGAATATGTACACGGACTGTGCGGTTTAAGGGAAAGTTTACGGTTCATTTTGATTCTCTTTCGGATCATCAGATTCTCATTCAAGATAAGCCACTAGTAAAGTCAAGGAAAAACATCCTTGATCTCTGAGAATAATAGTGAAGAATTGAGCCGGTCGTGCTTACTGGTGATACAGATCTACGATATCAAAGAACCGTGACTTGTCCTTTTACCCTTGCCCATGTTTCGAATTATTTGTTTAATAATGACGTTGACCGTTGATTGATTATATTTGAGTAGATACGGCAAAATGTGATCGCATTTTAGTTCAAAGCATGGTATTGTCCCCTTTGTTACAGAAGAACCCAGTGCATGGTTTCACACACGGATTTGATCGCTTAAATAATGCACATGAACCAGTTTTAGAGCACCGAGTCACAGTAATTCACGTGATTCTTATGATTTCCTAGTTGATCATATGTAAGCTGTTGTGTTTGAAAACGGGTGTTTTACTTCGTTGGCACTTATGCCCGATACTTTCATTAATACTTGTATCTACAATTAATGACCTGTCTTGAGACTCCTCTTCCTTCAGACCTCGTTTTATGGACTGGTCTCATCTTGATCCTGTACGTGTAGGAGCGCGCGGAGTCGCAATAACATGACAAAGGATCTGGAAACCGCGCATAACGGATATATTTCCGCGCGCGCAGCAGCCATGCACATGTGTCATGCATGCCAACTGTGCAATGAAAGACCCAGTCCACACGTACGCGTACCATACTGTAGGTTTTTGCTAGAAAATAGTAGCAACTGAACGAACAAGATTGCTCGATAATCTGAGCTAGGTTTATAATATGACGGTTAAAGAGATAAGCATAATCTATAGCCAAAAAGCTAAGGCGCAGGTTAAATCTCCACCGAATGCGCATCCAATTTGATACGTACATGTATAACTGTGAACCATGAAATATGTCTATAACTTGCTAAGTAATAGTATGCGTGTGCTAACCAAAATTGCAGACCGCGGAATATAATAACTTTCGAGGCGGCACACATACTAGACAAAAGCTACTCGCGCTATTGTGCTTTTCACAGAGAAATTGTTGCTCTAACCAGAGCCCTGATCTCACTTGCAGTAGCAGCGCGCGACCACCGAAGTAGTAGAGGCTCTTACGGGCAAATAAGGCACTCTTCTGCTGGAGCCCCTAGGCTCCTGGGATGATTGTTTTATGGACTAGTAAGTAGTGCCGCATCGATAGCCGATCTCAGATGCCACTATGGATGCTGTATGGCCATGTGCTGACGGTTATTTGCTTTTTTCCGCGCACCTCGCTAAATCACAAAATACCCGCTCGAATTTGATTTCAAAATATTCACAAAACTCCTAGATACCTACTTGACGATATTACGGAGCCAGATTTACCTCTGTTGCCTATCTCTTGGTGTTATGACTATTCAAAGTTTCAGATTATCACGTGACACATTATGTCACAGTAAATGCGCGCAAGAAAAACTTTCACACATATTTTTGATTCGGCGCAAGCGCGTTCCGCACAATTACTACAAAAAGAACCAGGGTTTTTCCCGACGAGTAATACTACTATACGTCATTTATTACTATGTGTGATACGAATGGTAACGGAACTTGTATCATAAGAAACAGTGATTTAAAAACAAGCTGCTATGATAAATGTTGCTATAAATCAGTAAGCACTACCTCGATGTAAGCATATTAGCGGTCGTTCACGGTTCACATAATACGGAATCACCGAGAGGGGGGGGGGGGGGGGTCAAATTAAACGTTGTTCAGGACGTGATTACGTAATATGTCAACGATCCTGTAAGAACATTACATTAGCCGTTACATAACATACATTGAGTTTTACGGGGCTAAATTTGAACTTTAACAAGTTCTCTGTTTGTTCTGGTGTTAGTTGGCATAACAAATACACCATTTGCAGCTTTAAATGTGACAGTGATCAGTGACGGGGAAGATGTAAAATAACATTTAGTCCGCTGCATTTCCCTAACACCCAGTTTGGAATTTGGATCTTATGTCATGGTCAGTGTAATAAATTCCAACGAATCTTTCAGCTGCTTTTAAAAATAAGCTATTTCTAATTTTCGATCTGACTGTAACTTCGTCGATTAGGCGAGGTTTTACAAGATAAAAAACTTTCATATGCCCCGTTTTAAACATCAAACTGTATTT